CATCAGTGATAGCAGTCAGTGGAGAATACGCTGAATCGTATTCTTACTTAATGTGTAGAAATTATACTAATACACAATTTAGACCTTATTTCTTCCGCCTTAAGACTTCTTTAATTTTCGCGTTTCGTTGTGTTCCCGCAGCGAATAATATTTCGCGATTTGTGTCCAAGTGAAACGAAGGAAGCAAGCGAACGAACACATTCACGGTGAGTGAGTACTATTGCAATCTATGTTATTCCTACATTTGTTTTTAGGCATTTGTCTTGCGCCGACAGTGTAACCGCGGTCAAGGGACGCCCCCAATTGACAAAAAAGGTTGATCTACTCCAAGATGCGTAGATAATTTCTCTTGACCAACTCTTTTTTATATTTCGCCATTCTCTTCCAATTTCCTCTTGTCCTTTCGCAAAATGAGATGACATGATGGAACATTTGTTACATTCATCTGGTGTTTAAAGGCAGAGGAGACAAACATTTGACCTCCATTGTAAGGTAGAAATGCAAATGTGGCCAAAAACTCGCGAAGTGGGTTCCCTTTTCGTTTTCGTTGATCTCCACGTCGACAACTTCTACAGTAGATGACGTCATCGATGTGGTCGCTATTTTCGGCCGTTCTGTCTCTCTCGTTGCAGTCGGCAGCACTTATAACCACTAATCATGGCCGAGTATGCCACCTAGAGGCGGGCCTTCTGAGGACGGCGGTCACCACGAGTAGGACCTTGCTCGGCCAATACGGGGGCTTTCTCCATCACGCAAAAGTCACTTTCACGTCAGTCTGGTCTTTTGTTAAGTAGTAATATTCCTACCTTTTTACATCCGATTTACCGTTCCAGCTTTCGGTTTTGTGATGTTACTCGAGACATGCCTTCACTTGAACAGCTGTCATTAAATAAGAATCGATTGACACATCTTACACAGTGCACACATTCAACGTCGTGTCAAGCATCTCATCGTCATAGTCTTTTCGACTGTATCTCAATTATGATATCGCTCATTTAATCAATCTCTGTGTCGGTGCATATCTCATCGTGTCTTTCTGAACTCAGGAATTGATTGCGTTGTGATACCTGACTAACATTGAATTATCTCATTTTTGGTAGTTAATCCATGCTGCATTATTTCTACTATTCGATAACCAAGCCACATGAAGACTTGAAATTGCTAGCTCTCACTTATTTGAGCTTTTAAACATAAAGCCTCTTAGTTGCAGGTAAAACGAAAGTGATCAAATTGGAAATAATCAAGAAATTCAATGAATTTTGTAAAAAAAATCTGTGATGACTTGCAGAGTTTGAGTTGGCGACATGCCAAAGCCGAATTAGATATTGAATTCCATAACCATGGAAAAGGATTATCATCTATAGCACAAAGGACGAGAACGGTCCTTTTCTAGCTTTACCTTCTTCAGTCTGCCGACTTCGCCTTTCAGCACTTCATTCTCCTGCAGTAGCACCTCGGCCTCTTTCAGCAAGTGAACTTCACGAGCTTTTTCGTCGGAGTCGTGAAGTTCTAGCGGCTTCATTTACGATCACGTTTTTCACGCCTTCTGGAATCGTAAAATTGCATATGTGGTGAAACAGAGCAATGCTCAATATAGTTCGTGATAGCCTTTGAATGCACCAAGTCCTGGTCTCCAGACATGCATCGTAAAAGCAGTAATTGACGAATAGCCAGAGTGCAAAGCTTTGTTTCAACTGCAGATTTCTATTTTGTGCTTTTCTGTGCTTCCTTTAATAGTGAAATTAGAATCACTTCACACTTTGACATTTTTGAGAAATAAATGTGATTCAGTTTAGGTAGAGGAATAAAAATTTCACGTTTTAGTAGTTGCAACACCATATGTATAAATAAGATTATAAAAGTAGTTATATTTGCAAAATACTGAAACTATTGGAGGGAAAGCAGCAAGTAATCATACCTATCATTGGGATATGAACTGTCTTCAGTTGGGTCATCGAGACCTTCCCATGACTAGCACCTAGTTCCTAGTCAAAGGTTTCTAGGTTTCTTTCTTTTCATGATTAGGTAATCAACAACCGGCAAAACAGACTGTTGTTACATCAATTCAACACACTCCTATCCCGAAACTGCCTGCTATTTCTATAGAATCAAAGTAAACTCATAGGCTTGATAATGCTTCTAGGAACCTAGCGGCTTGTGGTAAGAAAAACATTCCAGCTCGTGCAAATTTTCGAGTTTGAAGCCCTTAAAAATGGAATGGAAGTTCCTTTTCTAGCTTAAGATCCCAAAAAATCCATCAGGTGGCCTGTGCCAACCAATTAGCAATAACAGTGAATTAAATAGTAATGACAGTAAATCAAATAATTTGAGCTCTATACTGATAATGATAATTTAAATCGTTTCTAGTATTCCCTCATTTAATAACCATAGTAAAAGAAAAAATCATTATTTTCCAGTACTATATTGATACACCACCTTTTGTAAGCCTCATCTGAGGATTCCGACTTGCTACATGACGAGGCCGACGACCTGGCATATCCGATGTCTTGAATAAATTGGTGCAGGGCATGTCTGAGAAAGAGCAACGAACGCTGAGACTGGGGTACCGTTGTTCGAGGCAATGGAACTCTGGAAAGAAATCATAGGTGAAAAGCAAGATTACGCCTTCTTGAGGAGATAGACAAAAAACCCCTACATATAAGGAACATTCGGAACTCTTGATTAAGTCAACTTTAGCTCACCTCGACGCTCCGATTCTTCATAGTGGTCCTCCGCCATCGAACCGTTGTCACATTCCTGAAAAAGAAAGAGTCAAACAAAAGTGCATTGCAAAAACCAAGCATTGAAATTTCTCATTTGAATTCCTTATTTACTTTACTTAAAGGAAACTTCCACGGAAAAAGCTCCGCCCTCATTACCACAGAAAACGATACCTTAAAGGAATCTTCCACGGAAAGAGTGATCATTTTGTCTTGTGTGTAGGATTAGTATTATCGAAACTAACGCTTATGTTCCGTTCTTTTTGCTATGCTCATGAGGCTAGGGGCCTAAGGGGTATCGTTTTTCTGTGGTAATGGAGGCGGAGCTTTTTCCGCGGAAGATTCCTTTAACGTGTAACTAAACAAACAAAACGAACGAACACGTACGAAAAAACAGCGACACGTTGAGAAAAAAGTCATTATGCCTCACGACGGGCGAAATCGGGGAGTAAACCGCGAGATTGCGCAATCGGGGGGTTGTGTGGCCTCACCAAAGGCTTCTTGTCCGACGGCAACCACACACTCACTTCAAAACCTAGCCTAACACCCTAGTTTCAAGCTTTATGCAAGATTCGCTGGTACCTAGTTCGACTCGCTGGTACATAGTTCGACTCGCTGGTACATCGTTCGATTCGCTGGCGCAACGTTCGATTCGCTGGCGCAACGCTCGATTCGCTGGCGCAACGCTCGCTAGTTCGATTCGCAAACTATGACATCGTTCTTACGATGGCCACAAATCTCGAGCATTAATGGCCCCATCGTTCTTAAAAATTGAGGACACAAAATCCGTCGTCTCTACTTCCCCGATAGGCGAGAGAGATGCTATCAGTATAGCCTACGGACTCCTTGATGCTGGACAAAAACGTCTCATATTGTTGCTATTAGCGTCAAACGGCACGAACTTCTCAATTCAAGAGTAGTGTGAACTCGGGAGTAATAGAGTTTCACCGGTGGGATGAGGATAATTGAAACAAAACAGCAAAAAAAGCTCGGACAGCATCGGCGATACATGTTAGCCGCTTTCCTCATTAATGAGGGAGACTGAAACGGGGTGTCTGATGATCGATACCTGCAATCACGTCGATACCTGTTACCTTCGGCACCCTTTGTCCATGTGGTCATGCAGATGTCTTCATCTCCATGTGTCCCAAACGACGATTTAGTCCCCTTGTCTGTGGTATTAGAATATTCAACGATTATTGGCACAATTTATTATAGTTGAATAAATTACAATTCCCATGCAAGCAAGCATTACAGTTTATATTGATGTAGTGTACAGATACAAGAAAACGTCTAATTATAAGTACAAGTGGTACGCACGAGGCTATACAGTTTTACGCACGACGCTAATAAAGCATGGCGCTACTCCTTCACATGCTGAACGCAGTTATCATACCATAGGATCACTCGTTGTGGTTCCGCTATTCATTTTACGGCCGGAAACATCCTAAACCTTCACATACATCACTTTTTGCGTTATCATTCATTTCCCAAGCTGAATCTTCCCCCTTGAACCCACTCTGAACAGAAAAATCGCGGCAGGCATAATCACTCACTGAAAGTTGTAAAAGTCGAGATGACAACAATAGCAACCCACTGTGGACGTACCGCCTCCTTTTGAACCACACTTTGTATTACTCTTTTACCTAGAATGAGACATCTTGCTGAAAATACTTTTCATAACTTCCTGGACTATTAACTTTTGCAGATTTTCAAAGCTAATTAGAACTAAAAGATTGACGCTTTTGCAAGTATATCAAGTTGTCTAATTGGCCACTCTCTCGAAAAATCTTCCCGTTCATCCGTTTCTTCCCTCAATGGCTTTTAAGGCCATTCTCTTGAGACGCGACTTTTCAGCACAAAAATGGCCTCAACTTTCCTGAAATTTGGAACATTGAGAAGCGAAAAAATCACTAGAATCAGAAAGATTAGAACTGTATAGTGGACGCTAGAGCACCCAGAAAGGGAAACCTTTCTCCTGCTATTGGTTTCTGTAAGTACTCCAGAGGTCAATCAGTCGAACTCACTGCACTTTCATCCACTTTAAAGGCAAAGATCGGGCTTAGTGAACCGAAGCAACCCTTTCGGTCATGTCTGTAATTGGTTATGCACCCGTACAGATGTTCCCATCGGGCGGAAGTGGTGTAGTGGCAAGTGGCACGCTTACCACGCGAGCGGTCCGGGGATCAAATCCTGGGTCGTGAGTCGCCCGGGCCAACCAAGCCTTCCATCCCTCCGGGGTCGGTTAATTGGTACCAGACTTGTCTGGGAGGATAAAAACACTGACTTGTACATCGGCTGGCCCCCGCAAGTCATTGTATAGGCCACATCGCATTCAAACGCCACTACGAATGTACAAATGGAAGTAGAATGCGTGCCGCATCCCAAAAAGGGATTGATCAACGGCAAATGCTTTATCCTTTATCCTTTTACAGATGTTCCCACGCTCAAAATCCGAACGGCGCGTAATAAGGCCCAGGGCATGTACTATGCGCTACGCCGCCTGGCCCCGCTACGACCGCCCACCTCGGGATGTGGTGCATTGCTGGCATAGGGCGGGACCCGCGTGTTCATTGGTGGGTCGTAGGGTGATAATCATCAGCTGGGGCTCGATTTTCTTTATTTGGGCTCATTCTTGCATTTTCTTTCATTTTTGCTGATTATTTTATAGCTCTTCTTTGTTTTCGGATTAACTTTTGATTTGCTCACTTTTTTGCTCTCCAAAATCAATCTTTTCAATCTGTTCAATCAATCAAATTGCAATCTTCAATCGCTTTTCGCAACTAGTTAGAAGCGAGACATTCAGAGGATTCGCGCTCTCGCGACTATAAATCTTTTTTGGATTCTTGCTTTCTTAGCTTCCTCTGTTTAGATGGATTCTTGAAACAATGACTTCATCGGAGTCTCGAAAAAGTGTTTACTGATTTACGACGAGGACTATGAGCTGTGGTTGGTTTACCTTACGTCCTTTTTTCATGGATTTTTCCTTGTGCCTTTTCTTATTGAACAGAGAGAATACGTCTGAAGGAAGGCATGTTTTCACTATGCAATTTAGCGGGAGGTGATTCAGCTGAAATTCCTTCTTTGAGCTCTTCTTCATGCAGCTTGTTGCACAAATCGCGAAATCAGCGAAACTCTGACACCAGCCTTAGGAACTCAGACGCACGTGAGAAGCTTTAATTAAACCCTAATCTAGCAATTTGTTTCGGAAAATATTATGGATTGCTGTCTACTTGGAACAAGGCTGATGACGTTGTTTTTCACAATATGCTATCTGCTACCTTTTCTGTCTCCCGTGGCACCAGATTCTGCTTACTATAAAGCTTTTGCTGCGGGTGAATTGGTTTGTTAGGGGTGTGGTTCACTAGGACAGAAAGCGACTTTTTCGCGTTTCGCAGCGCGAAACATTTTTCGCTGCGGGAACCTCGGGTCCACTGATGATCAGCGGTGGACCTGAGGTTCCCGCAGCGAAAAATGTTTCGCGCTGCGAAACGCGAAAAAGTCGCTTTCTGTCCTAGTGAACCACACCCTTTTGTTAGCATCACCTAACGAGATTTTCATTCCATTATGCATCAATTTCAGATGCTGCTAAAAATGCGCTGCGAATGCAGCAACGAGTTGGAATAAATATAAGATTCATTCATTAAATTATTGCAAAAAAATGTAAAATAACCATCAGTCGCACACTTACACTGCGAAACATGCAAAAAAACCATTTCATAATCTTTGACAACACAATTTACAATGCACAATTCCCGAATAGCAGGCGTTCTTCGAGGTCAGAAGGGAAGTGAGCGGCAAGAAAAATATTGATGTACCTGGACTGTATCCCGGTTGCTGCTGTGGAATCTAATAACGGATTAGGATAGAACCTAAACCTCAAAAATGCCTGAACAATTTTTACCTCATCAACGGAACCACGTATATCCAAGGAGAAATCATCAAATCAACCGACACCGTACAGTAAATTGTCGACAACAGCAACACCGACTCCACATATGCACAAGAAAATGTTTCTGAAGAAAGAAAGATTGGAAGCGGGAACCTGATAATATAATAGTAACACAGAGAATGTACCCGCTCTTCTGATCGCACATCTAGCTCATCTGTTGAAATAACTTCAATCAAGTGGTTGACAGAAAGGACACGAAATTCTTCAGTGCAAACGTCATTCTAAAAACGAAAGAAAACATATATGATTTTTAAAAACACAAGAAAAGGAAGAGAAATATTTGTTATGAGCATTGAAACAATTAATAACCTAGCAATTTTGCAAGGATATACTTGACAGCGCTACGAATAAGATCGTGCAACACATGAACGGGTATTATCAAACGCTCGAATGCCCAAGCTAGTGGACGGATCCTTACAGCTTCGTTTGAAAACCACAACATACTTTCTGAAAACAAAAAAGACAAGCGTTGTAACCTCAAGCACTGGCAAATACCAACAAAGTGAAACTTTTACAAGCCAATCAGCAAAACCGAACTTCATTCAACTGAAACATTGCCACTAAAGAGCGATAAGAAAATGAAAATATCACATCGCGGACGACATCAAATGAAGATAAGAAATGGCAAAAAAAGCGAAATGGTGTCAAAGCGAACCCTAAACCAACAAAAAAACAGCTGACTAAGGTGTATTGATTCCCCTAGCTACTGCTGGCTTGATGCCAAGAAGGCGGGCGTAGCAGAGAGCATGGACCGGACAACTCGTCCGGACATTGCTCTCTGCTACGCCCGCCTTCTTCGTTGCTGTTTGAGAGGGGGTCCCATATTAGGGCCTCTTTCAAGGTATTTTTTCGTTTTTTCTTCACTATCGTTCCACTTCGCACCTCTAATCAGTTTCAGGCGCCATAATCCCCGAAGTCGAGCCCGACCTTTTGCCTTTAACATGAAATATATCAGTAAGAGAACTCGCATTCGGATTGCCTGTGGTGCGTACCCGCAATGGTAATTGAAAGCATGTCCTTCTTTGCCATTTAGCCAAGCCTTAATACCTTCAAATTTTGTGATTGGTGCTTTAGGTTCACGACCAGGGTCAACCGTCACGTTCGAACATTTTCGGGATTTTTGCGACCCCCTAGCTCTCGAGGGGGTCCAGTTGCGACCCCCTGTTTTTGTTAATAAGAGTGCTAGACATGAATCCGTTGCGCCAGAAAGCGTCTGCGTTGCGGCGTCGGCCTTGGAGCGCGGCAGGTATCACCCGGGCGCTGGAAGAACGGGACGCGGCGAAGAAAAATTTTAGAGGGGAATAACTTTCTTGGGACGTACTTTTTTGACTTGTTGAGGTAGATTTTGATTGTGCCTGAGGTGCGCTTTCAGAAAACTACAAGGATTGCCTAACTCTCCGGAAAGTACTTCTGTTAGAAGTGGAAAACCCAAAATTCTAAGAAGGCGCACCTTCAACTTTGAAGGCCCATAAAATCTTTCGTATGCGACATTTTGGAAATCTGTAAAAAGTTTCAGAAACTTCAAATAATAGTATAAAAAGTTTAGTGATTGTCCCCTTTTTCAAAAAATTGTCCCGTTCGAACATTTTCCGTGCAAAAGCGAGTTTTTGGGCTTTCAGCGACCATAACTCACTTCATTTTCATTTCTGTGATGCACTTTTTTCATGGGGTGAAAGTAGGATTTGCTCTTTCTAACAAGCCCCAAACCGTTTTTCAAAGTTCCGAGAAAATCACACGTTCGAACATTTTGGGGGGTTTTGCCGAACACTTTTTTTGAAAATCGCGAGTTTTTGGGCTTTAAGCGGGCATAACTCACTTCATTTTCATTTCTGTGATGCACTTTTTTCATGGGTGAAAGTACAGGATTTGCTCTTTCTGACAAGCACCAAACCGTTTTTCAAAATCCATTTTCCGAGAAAATCACACGTTCGAACATTTTGTTCCCATAGGTTTTTGAGCAGCACATGCGAGTTTTTGAGCTTTCAGCAATAATAACTTCCTTCAAAGAAGCTTGTTGGGGAGGGCGAAGACATTTTTGAAGACTACGAGATTTCTGCTTCTTATGTGTTTTACAGTTGTCTGGAAGAAGCGTCCCCAAAAATTAGGTCCGAAGAACTTTATTTTCAGCCCCGAGAAGTCAAACCTTTCATAGGGATGCATTCAACTGTTCTTTATTCCAAGGAAAACACCGTAATTTGCCTAAAACTGTCTCTCTGTGCATAATAAATCGAATCTAATGCGGTCTGCACAAGCAAGTCTTGCCCTCGGATACGCCACGCACGCGCCTGTGGCTGGCAGTCCTCGAAATTGCGACCCCCTTCCGACCAAAATGCGACCCCTTCGTTCGAACAGTTCGAACGGACGGTTGACCCTGGTTACGACCCCCCTCCCTTCCATTGGCCAAATACGACGCCCTCGTTGTTCTTTGCGCAACGGTTGACCATGCTCCTAACCATACCTGCTGGAAATATCTGCCCATGTATTTTCGTCAGCTTATACACTTGATGACGCGAAGTGCGTGGTAAGTTTATTGATTTCTTTTCCAATAAATCAATTTCCGTAACTAAATGAAGGCGAACTGTGAAGGTTTTCAAAAACGTGTGAATGAACGTTGCCTCTAGGAGCATTCAGTGCGTCATCTTAACACATCCAAAGACAGTAGAAAGCAATGAATAGAAATAAATATTATAGAAAGGAAAAGAGCAGTCAAATTTCTGGTTGCTAATAATGTATGAATTTTATATCGTTAATGTTTTCGAAGAATTTCTCAACAACAGCAACACTGGATGTTCGTGATTTCTATAACGACATGACGATTCGATAAGAAAATTTTCTTTTGATGCTAGCACAAGAAAAGCTTAGCTACTATAAGCGACATTCGGTCGTGCAGGCTTTGGCATCATTATATTCTGTGATAATAGCATGAAACCGCTACGATGAATAAACGCTCAAGGAGTGGGCTACCTCACATACTTTAATATGCCGCCTTCTTTGGCTGGAAGCGTCGAAGGACTGACTGAAAAGCAGGAGCAGTGTTCAAAATTTGTGTTTCAACAAACAGTACAGGGTACCACATATGTGCCGCTCATTGCGAGCCATGTGAGACCGCGCAGGATGTACGTGCTCCGCAACTAATTCATCCTTATTCACACATGCACGATTTCTTTCCAATATTCATTCTTTTGCTCACAACTTAGCGTGACTATTGATGGAGTCGTTCACAGAACTGCTAGATGTGGTCCGATTTAGACTTGAGCTATGGTTCTCTACGCTATGTGAAATTTTCGAAACGACGGCTTCCACAAAATGCAATGTTTTCTGCCAACGAAATGATTAGCCTGTTGCAGTTGTATTCTATCAGTTGTCACTAATTACAACTATCATTTACCAAAAATCAGCTATCACTATGAACCACTACTAACCAGATTTACTTGGAGGCCGTCGTCACTTGTGGTCCGACGCTCTTCTCCTTTTCTGAACGGGAGGATAAGTGAGAACGGAGGAGATTTGTAAGATCAAGCCAAAAATGGTTCCAATGTCCACCTAGCAAAGGTTTAACCGATCTCGCGGCCAAAAACGCCAAGTTGCGCGACGTTTTCAAGGTGTGGAAATTGCGAGCTGTCGTTAAGGCTTTTTCAACAAGCGCTAGCGAGGTAGGGAAACACCTGTCGGAACCATGTACGGAGTAACAATTATCCCTGTAACATTGACGCGTTTGTCGCTTATAGTAGCTGAAGCGTTTCTACCACATTACTTCAACAGATCAAATTTAGCAGCTGCAGAGATAGGAAAAAAGCGTAAATGGAGCTATTTCTTATTTCGTCGCAGGTAGTCCTTAGAGCCAGGCACGTGACGCCTTGTGTAATATTTGTCGAGAATATTTCCGGGAATTCTTTTGAGCATTTCTCTCGGAAAAACTCGTAGCAATTGCCATGCGATGTCTAACGATTCTTCAATTGTGCGACGTTCATGCTGACCTGAAAGAACACTCAATTGGGCAGAATGCGTTGAAGACTTAGTAAAATGAAAGGAGACTAGAACAATGGGGTCTCTTAAGACAGGGATTATTAACTACTTCGTTTGCATTCTCTGGAGGCAACTGTCACTTACACATCCGATTTCGTTCACTATCTTTCCATCAAAACATTATGATCTTTGCTTGAAACACATTCCCCACTCACCAGGAAAGGCATTTAAAGGCAAAAGTCGGGCTCAATAAGGGGGTATTATGGCGATTGAAACTGAGTATAGAGATGCGAAGTGGAACGACAGTGGAGAAAAAACTGAGAAAAACCGTCGACAAGGCCGTTAACAAAACCCTCTTTCCCACTAGCAGTGAAGGAGGCTGGCTTGAAGAAGGCACGTACAAACAAGTTGATACGGCTATCAACCTAGCTGATTTCACACGTTATGCCAGCCATGCACCACATCCCAAGGTGGGCGGTCGTAGCGGGGCCAGGCGGCGATAGCGCATAGTACGTGCCCTGGGGCCTTATTACCGCGTCATTCGAGAAAGTACAGACATGACCAAAAGGGTTGGTTAGGTCAGCTAATCCCGACCTTTGCCTTCAACTTCCCATGGAACTTTGAATTGAGACCCAGATATATCGATAGAGCTTCAAACGCTGATTACAAATATGGAAACTAAAACTGCAAAATGAACCTGCCAAGGAAGTTGTGAGCAGTCAAAGTTGGCTGGAAGTAAAGCGTTACGTATTACGTAGCCTCCGGGCTTTCAAAGTCGCCGTGGAGTAGTGGTAGTGCTCTCAAAATTTGCACTCCAACGGGAAGAGAACTTATGATATCCGGGTGAAGAGCGAGGGCAGTACCACTACTCCGCGGCGACTCTGAAAGCCGGAGGCCAGCACGGTTCATATGCAACTTCCAGCCAACTTTGACTGCTCACAACTTCCTTGGCAGGTTCATTTTGCAGTTTTAGTTTCCATATTTGTAATCAGCGTTTGAAGCTCTATCGATATATCTGGGTCTCAATTCAAAGTTCCATGGGAAGTTGAATGCCTTTCCTGGTCAATCGTTACAGAGCTCGAAAATAGTGAATTTTATCGACTTAGCATGACCAATATACAATGGAATTGCCTCAATTTACAGATCAGGCATGAAATCTGAGCCCGAAAACAGGATTTCTTCTCTAAACGTGGCTTTTCAAACGATAGAACTGTTGTGATTCCTACATCCTTTCGCTTCTTCTTGTTGCCGTGGGTCTTACTTGATCTTTAGTCTAGAACTCGAAATTTGTGCGATTTTAAATAGACTAGGGTAAAGATTCGGTACAAGCTTCACAGGAGGCGTTTACAAGAGGGGTGGGATGCGAGAACTTGCTGAATGGTCCTGATTCAATATGGCAAGCTGCGTGTGCATCATGTGTGATATTGAGAAGCTCACCTTGTGAAGCGAACTGTTTCTCGAACTTCCTCAAAAACTCCAAGTACAACCAATCTTCGTGCGTAAGCGCTTCGTCTCCTACCTGTAATTTGAAAATCTATCTTTAATATGATTAGTTCGTTTAGCTCTAACACCATGAAGCTTTTTCAGACCGCACTACATTATAAAAGCGCACAGAAGAATGCATACAGAGATATACAACACAGCAAAAGCTCAACACGATCACACCTCACTAAGATAAAAGTGGTTGGAGGTGGAGATGATGTTGAAGAGCGTTTCTGTTCCAGGCCGTTATAGAAAGAACAAATGGAAGTGAAAGTTTTCTTTTGCTAGATATGAAATTGCAAATAAAAGAAGAAGAATGTGAGTATGAAAAGGTTCGACTCAGCAGTGCCCAGCTAAAGGCCCACAAATTTTGTGTAGTGGTTCCGGTCAACATGAATAACACAAAAGAGCTCAGCGAATGCAAATGCGTTCAGCGGGACATACAGGGTCAACCGTCACGTTCGAACATTTTCGGGATTTTTGCGACCCCCTAGCTCTCGAGGGGGCGACCCCCTGTTTTTGTTAATAAGAGTGCTAGACATGAATCCGTTGCGCCAGAAAGCGTCTGCGCGTCGTCGCGTCGGCCTTGGAGCGCGGCAGGTATCACCCGGGCGCTGGAAGAACGGGACGCGGCGAAGAAAAAATTTTAGAGGGGAATAACTTTCTTGGGACGTATTTTTTTGACTTGTTGAGGTAGATTTTGATTGTGCCTGAGGTGCGCTTCCAGAAAACTACAAGGATTGCCTAACTCTCCGGAAAGTACTTCTGTTAGAAGTGGAAAACCCAAAATTCTAAGAAGGCGCACCTTCAACTTTGAAGGCCCATAAAATCTTTCGTATGCGACATTTTGGAAATCTGTAAAAAGTTTCAGAAACTTCAAATATTTCTCTAACAAAATAGTATAAAAAGTTTAGTGATTGTCCCCTTTTTCAAAAAATTGTCCCGTTCGAACATTTTTCGTGCAAAAGCGAGTTTTTGGGCTTTCAGCGACCATAACTCACTTCATTTTCATTTCTGTGATGCACTTTTCATGGGGTGAAAGTACAGGATTTGCTCTTTCTAACAAGCCCAAACCGTTTTTCAAAGTTTATTTTTCGAGAAAATCACACGTTCGAACATTTTGGGGGGTTTTGCCGAACACTTTTTTTGAAATCGCGAGTTTTTGGGCTTTAAGCGGGCATAACTCACTTCATTTTCATTTCTGTGATGCACTTTTTCATGGGGTGAAAGTGCAGGATTTGCTCTTTCTGACAAGCACCAAACCGTTTTTCAAAATCCATTTTCCGAGAAAATCACACGTTCGAACATTTTGTTCCCATAGGTTTTTGAGCAGCACATGCGAGTTTTTGAGCTTTCAGCAATAATAACTTCCTTCAAAGAACTTGTTGGGGAGGGGCGAAGACATTTTTGAAGACTACGAGATTTCTGCTTTCTTATGTGTTTTACCGTTGTCTGGAAGAATCGTCCTCAGAAAATTAGGTCCCGAAGAACTTTAATTTCAGCCCCGAGAAGTCAAACCTTTCATAGGGATGCATTCAACTGTTCTTTATTCCTCAAGGAAAACACCGTAATTTGCCTAAAACTGTCTCTCTGTGCATAATAAATCGAATCTAATGCGGTCTGCACAAACAATTCTTGCCCTCGGATACGCCACGCACGCGCCTGTGGCTGGCAGTCCTCGAAATTGCGACCCCCTTCCGACCAAAATGCGACCCCTTCGTTCGAACAGTTCGAACGGACGGTTGACCCTGGTCAACAAATGGCATGTCTGGCAGCAGACTCGGGCTATGACTAGTGGCGAAAAGTTGCTGAAAGGAAAGGGAAGTAGTGAATACAGGATGATGGGCAGTCTCGCGCTGCGGTATAGCGGCACTAACCCTCCACAGTCGCGACAGAATACAGGATGATGAGCAGTCTCGCGCTTCGGTATAGCGGCACTAACCCTCCACAGTCGCGCCACGCAGGTGGAGAAGTCGCCAAATCTACCCTCTGTTTGAGGGACTATAACTCGCTCCAGCTATATCCATTCAAAAAAGTGTGGGCAGATTCTGAATATACGAGAACTCCAGTTTCTAGATTGACCGAGCTTTTTTTCTAAAGACGTTTTACCCTGCAAGGTGGAGACGTCGACGATCTGTCGAGGACGTTGAAATTTGCATGCGAGTTTTCTCCACTTGAAAGGCAATAACATTCTCTTTTGCAATCTTCGAATTAAAGAAAACCATTGTGAAAAAGAAGATTCACTCTTCCCGATTGGTGCTTTTCCGAAAATTCTCTGGTTCGCTGGAAATCTGCGTCGAGTATCTATCGCGTACGGCTTCCGAGCTAATCAAAAACCCTATTCCTCCTTTACCGATGCAAAGAACTTCCTTCGAAACCCTCAAATTGCTGTGTTCAAGAAAACTTGCTTGTGCAAACCGAAAGTGTTTTTAGTCTTTGTATTGGGTTGATCCATAATTTCTGGCCGATTTTGGTTCAAATTCAATTTTCAATATGTCAAATTAGCTTCATATCGAAATAAGTTGATATGTTGAAGAACACATCAGGACCTTCAGCCAGGATGTTTCAGAAGCTCAAATGCGCAACGGGATAATTAAGTAGGAATCAAAATAGATCAACGACCAAACCCAACGATTATGCCTTACGACAATTTAAGAAGAACCTTGCAAGGAGCGCGGTAGGCAAGATCAGCGCTACGTTTGCCCCAGTCTTTGCTACTGATCGGAGCACTGAGCTATTGGCTCAATAGCATCGGCAAAGTACGATAGGAGCTGCAAAGTTCGACCTCATCATGGACCTCCAGTCACTTTCGATGAGGACCCCTTGCGCAACGAATAGGAAGTGCATCCTGACGCTATTAGCAGGAAACTGTAGCAAACACCTGGACGCAGCCTACGCTCCATGAGTCGACACCTGAAGCGAAAGGGGCTGTAGCAGAATGGAGACTCGATGGAAACAGCAGGCATCGACTGACCATGTTGACCATCTGCAGAAGTTTCATTCTTCGACCATATAGACACGACATTCCCTAGTTGGTCACTAGTGCAGATGAGTCATGAGTCCACCACGATAACAACACACAGCACGCCTTGTGGCGCAGCCTGGACTCACCATCTCGACCAAAGCATGAGCTCTCTCATCAGAGGATATTACCCCGGTTCGTTGGATTCGCTGGGTATCCTGTTTTGAGAACCATTTCACTTTATGCAGACAAGCATTGCGAAGGTAACCATGGAATAGCTCCCGAAGTTGGCCGCAGCAGTGCGGAGAACGGTTCGAAACGTCTCAAAATCTCCTTTCTCCGAAGGACCGCCCGAAATCACATTGCAAAGATAACTCGCCACGTTTCGAAGGAAAC